TAATTATCGCTTTCCCTTTCCTCAGGCTGCCAGGCTGAGTGTGTTAGAGGGCTAAACGGTTATCCCTGAGCAGTGACTCTCAGTGATGTTTGTATTTTCCCGATTCCAGGCCATCCCCAAAATCTTCTCATCTGGCCTGGACATCACCGAGATGTGCGGGAAGAGCATGGAGCACTACGCCGAGTTCTGGAGAGCTGTGCAGGAGATGTGGCTCCGGCTGTACGGCTCCAACATGGTGACAGTCGCTGCAGTCAATGTACGTCTTTTAGATCCGCCTTCTTATTCGCTCCGTGCGGTCTGTCACTTGCTGTGGCTTGTTTGCACCACGTGGGCAGGGACAGCCAAAAAATCAGGCTTGTCAGTGCTGAAACAAATACAGGGATGTATTTGTTGCCGTGTCTGGGTGAAGTTGGTGTCTGTCGGTTCGGCGCGTTGGGGTGTAGGAAGGTACAGAAGAGTGGGATGTTGCAGGCTCCATGTAAGCTGCAGGTGCTGCTGGGGTATAGCAGCATTTCGGCTGCGGTGGAGAGCTTGCACGGCACTCGTGTCCTGCCTATGGGGACTGACGTGCCCTTGGCAGTGTTTTGTGCAGCAAGAGCCAGACCCTGCCCCAAGAACTCAGCTGGGTCTGTCCTCCAGGCTGGAGGACCCGGAGGAGGACTGTAGGCCAGTGGTAAAGCCCAGAGGGGCATCGATGGCAGATGCGTGCCGGAGAAGCTGCGCGGTTGGTGTGGAAGGCGTCCAAAGAACGCCTGTCACGTGCCCACCGGCTGCTTTCTCACTGATGAGACTCGTAGGAGTTGCCCAGGGTCACTTGCTTGGCCATTGCACTGCTTTGCTCGAGCGGAGGAGATGGGAGGCAGCCAAGCAGTGCCGCGAGTGCTTGTCCTCGGCCCTGTGGGCAGCAGTGCTGCGGGCAGTGCTGTTTGTTGTGAGCCCTTTTTTCACCGGGTTTTGCTCCTCCAGCCGTGGTGCTTGGCCAGCAGGGAAGTGCCGTCTGAATCTCAGTGTCCGCAGATGGGTTGTTACCTGCTCGGTGTCTTGGTTTCATTTTTCAGTGCAGCGCCGCTTTGGCAGCTCACGGTTCTGTGTCTGTCCGTAGACTGTCTTTGAAGGCAGCTGGGTCTCTGAACGGCTTCCCGCAGGCATCCTGTGCAGGGCTAAGCAAGCACCGAGTCGTGGCAAAGATGGTCGCAAATGGAAGTTTTATAGGCAGAAGGTGTTACAAAGGCCCTGGACAGAACCGTTTCTGTGGCATTTTAACTCAAGTAGGGTTAAAAACTCCTGTAGGGTTACAAGAAAATGCCGTAGCAAATCGCCACTGCAGGGTTTGCAACCTGAGTAACATGGATCAATTAACTGGATTTCCAGGCTGGAAAATGCAAGAAACAAAGAGCATTGAAAAATGAAAGGATAAACCCTGGTAAACCTATCAAAAATCTTCTTTGGGGCTGTTTCAAATCAGGTGATCAGAGACCTGGGGGACATCTGCTCTGTCACTCTGTGTCTTCCCTGCTCTGGAGGAAACAGCGAGGCTGGGGGTGCAGGGACATTTGTAACCATGACCTAGACTCACTCCTTCCTTCTCTTTGCCAGGGGTCCAGCCCGGCGGGAGGCTGTCTCGTTGCCTTGTCGTGTGACTACAGGATCATGGTGGAGAACCCCAAATTCAGCATCGGCCTGAACGAAGCCCAGCTGGGCATTGTGGCTCCCTTCTGGTAGGCCAGTGCCTCCCACTTCTAGTGTCACGTGTAGGTCTCTCAAAAGAATTCATCTTCAAGGAGTTTATTAATCGGTTTAACTGGCTGCTGAGATGTAGTTTTATGTGTCAGTGATCAGGTAGTCGCAGCTGCAGGACACTGCACCTCATTTCTCTGTCCTACTCTGCCGGTATCTGAAAAGCTTTCAGGCTGCAGAATGTCCTCACATCCTTCGCCAGTGAGGACCTCCGATCTGGCTCTGCAGTCAACTCTGAAACTAGTGCTGGGAGATCTCCCTGGTCAGGCTCAGTCTGGGAATATGCTTTTCTGTGAGTACACGCTGTGTACCTGCAAAATCCCACAGCTCTGGAGATCTCTGGAAGCGTAGGGGCACTAATATACTAAGGCATGGACTCTTGGTTGCCCTAAGAACGTGTAAATGTAGTGTTGGAAAGGAGCTTTCACGTCACAGCAAGTGGGCGCAGCCGGGACCTGTGCATTGAGGGTAGATAGAGCAGCTCTCATAGAGAGGAGGGTGAACTCTGTTGGGTTAGCACCGAAAATGGCTCTGCTTGCCTGACTGCACAGCGTGGCTGAGCCCGTAGCTGCTGTTTAGAGGCCCATGCCTGGGGAGTGGGACCGAGCGTGCTCTTAGCTTCAATGTCTGGATGCAGCTGCTGCTGGGTGTCTCTTTCCCTGACCGTGGCTTTTCCTCCCATCTCTTCTAGGTTTAAGGACACATTTGTGAACGTTGTGGGACACCGAATTGCTGAATGCTCCCTCCAGCTGGGCTCCCTCCACCCCACACCCGAGGCCCACAGGTTTGGCCTTGTGGACGAGCTGGTGCCAGAGGACAAGCTCCAGGAGAAGGCTGTGGCTGTTATGGCACAGTGGCTGGCCCTTCCCAGTAAGTGCGGCACCTCCGGCAGAGGAAGGGGAGATTGATCAGGGTGGGAAGGATGGGTACCGGGGCTGGTACCTGGGAGCTATGCAACAGTTTCCATGTAAAGGGAAGGTGTGAACGGCTGGGAGGTAGGAAAGCTCAGCACAGCGGTCCAGGCAGCCTTGGGCTAACAGAGACGTGCTTGCCAGTGCCTCTGCGTGGGAGGACGCCGTGCTGGGTGCGCAGGGCACGTGGCTCCAGCTCGGCTTGCCCTGCCAGCCCTGCTGAGTCAATCCACAGGTGCCTGAGCTCCAGATACAAACTGAATCTCTGTGTCTCTCAGTGGAGTTGTTACCCCAGGAAACCTGCCATGGAGTTGAGGGAACAGGCTGGGCGAGAGTGCCTGGGTGGCTGCCAGTCCGCCTTTGTGGTCTGGATCAACTCTCATCGCTCTGCTGAGCTGGGGATAGCGATGGGGTCGTGAAGACAGAGAGCAAACGCAGACATCATGTGCGTGTTTGGGCTGCTCTGTGACTGGCAGCACGTGGTTCCTGGGCTGGGAGAGGGCTGTCCGCCGGCCAGGGCTAGACCTGAGCTATCGCATCCCATGCCACCTCCTGAGCGCTGCAGGGAGGTGCAACTACTTATCAGCCTTCAGCTGCTCTTTCTATAGAAACCTGAATGAATCTGGGCAGAAATGGATGGGTCGCAGGACTGTCACTTTGTGTCCCGGCCTTGGAAGAGGGTCCCTAAACAGCTCTCTCCCCTGCTGTCCTGGCGTTAGAGTGAGACCTCAGGCCCCAGGAGCGGGGAGCATGCCTCAGCTGTGCTCTCTCCTGACTTCCAGGGGGCACCATGCAGATCCTTCCCCAGAGCCCTAAATCAGAGCCAGGGGGAGTCTGTCCGGGTGAAGGTGTCTGTAGCACGCGGGTGCTGGAGCGATTCGGGGTTCCCAGTGCGTGGGGTGTTGGTCATCGTTTCACTGTTGCTGTTGCAGCACACTGAGAGCGCGTATGCAACCTCCGTGCAACAGATGTGCAGGCGCATCATTGCTGGTGGCTCTGTGTGTGGGTGTATGAGCAGATGTGTGCTCGAGGCTTCGGTCAGCTCCAGCAGCCAGTGCTGTTCCAGAAACATCCACGTATCTGTACTGAACTGGCCCAGAGCCTGCCGCCGGGATGAGCTCGAGGGGACAGTGCTGCTGGCTTTCGTGTGGCATGTTTGGCATGAGCAGACTGTCTTGCCAGAGGACAAAGGGGCTGGGTTGAGGGAGCTTAGAGCCAGAGCAGTTTCAAATAGTGGAGAATTTTGTTCGGTTACTGCTGTCCTGAGCCCGGTGGTGTGTATTGGGGTGGGGGCTGGGCTCTGGAGGGTGCAAAGAGAAGGAGGTGCACAACTTTTTGTCATCTGTCCCAGTAGATCAGTCGTTTCCCCACTGAGCGGTACAGATCATAATTTATTGTATGAGAATTTATCCAGTTCAGCTTCCAGCCGGTGGGTTTTTCTTACACCTTTCCCTGCTGCTTTAAAGAGCCCTTTGGTGTGCAGCACCTCCCCTTCCCTTCGGAGGGACCTGCACATGGTGGCAGTGGCCGAGAGCTGGTCAGGGGTGAGGACCGCGCACGTTCCCCATCCTCGCTCTCCTTTCCGCAGACCATGCCCGTCAGCTCACCAAGTCCATGATGAGGAAGGCAGTGTTGGACCGCCTGGTAGCTCACCGGGAGGAAGACATTCAGAACTTCATCAGCTTCATCTCAAAAGAGTCCATCCAGAAATCGCTTCGCATGTACATGGAGATGCTAAAGAAGAAGAAGAGCTGAGGAGCCGGCCGGCCGGGGTCCGGTCCCAGGAGCTCGAGTGACCCTTCGAAACGCTGCAGTAGCTGTAGACTTTCACAGTGAAGCCATCTGCAGTGTCAGCAACCGGTGATGTGCTGCTTGCTCCCGTGGCCGCCCCAACCGCCCCTTCCCCTTAGTCCCCATAGAGTGCCTGACACCACCGCTGCCTTTCCTGAGAGCGGAGGGAGCTGCCTGCTCGGCTCCTCTGAGGAACGGACAGGGAGAGGGTCTCAACGCCGCTGTGGCCCGAGCCCGCCGGTCCTTGGATGTCCTCCCTCCTGTCCAACAGCTAATTGTGAAATGAGATGTGTCAATAAAGTCTTTGATGAGGTAGGACCTGGATGCGTCATTCCCCAGCCTGTCTGCGGTCACCGCTTCCTGGCTGGTGGCCTGTCCCTGGGCTCTGGTTCGTGGTGGGCTGGGGAGGCCGGGGCACGGCCGGCGGCCGGCTGCGACCCTCCTCCAGACCGGGACCCGGAACAGCCCACGTGCAGGACTCATGGATGGGGCTGCCTAGGGCGCTTCACGGGGGTTGGTGGTGGGAGCTGGAGCTGGATCGTGGTCTGCGGCCGCAGGAGCTCAAGCCATCAGCTTCACCTCGACTGGGTAGTGGTCGCTGACTGCCAGGGCCTGGAGGAGGGTGAGAGGTGGGGAGGCGTAACGGAGGGGTCTGGTGAGCCCCTCACCGTGCTGGTGGGGCCAGCAGGGTGACTGTGATCACCCTGCCAGACCCTTCTGCCTGCTGGAGGGGGACGAGATGTCCCCAACCCCGAGAGGCTCAACACACAAGGCTCCAGTTTTGGCACCTCTTGTGGAGAGATGCCCAGGTGTGGCCTGGGGCGGGTGCAGGCAGGGGGGTGCCTGCCCTCCGAGACCCCCATGTCTCGCTCGGGAGCTCTGTGCCAGCTACGGGTGGTTGGAGATTGGCTTTGATTGCCCCACGCCGTGGGGTCCTGCCCATGAAAGACTATGAAAAACCCCATGTGTCTCATCTCTTCCCCACGGGGATAAGCAGTGACCCCAAATCCCCCCTCCTGTTTCCACCCATGGATCCCTCGGCACCCCGAGCTCCCCATTAGCTGGCTGCAGGCTGCTGTGTCCCAGGAGGGGAGCGTGCCTTACGCAGGGGCTGTGCTGGCGTCCCAGCAGGCAGGCGCTGGGCAGGGGCACATGTGCTGCATCCGGAGCCAGCTCAGGCTGCTGCTGGAGCTGCTTCAACTCCGCTTTTGGGCTTTTTCTTAAATGTGGTGTTACATGGCCACGGCCAGGCTGCCTAATCCCAAACAGACACCAGCAGCCCCGCAGCCGGCGCTGCCCGGGGCAGCTCAGCTTTGGTGCCTGTTTGAGTCCCGTGTTTGCGAGCCTGGCTCACCTCCTCCTGCTCCAGCTGGAAAGTGCGCTGGAAATTGTAGATGGCAGCTGAATTTGGCACGATGCTTCTCTTCAGCTTGGCGCCGCACACCACGATCCTGCCAGGGGACGTAGGCGGGTGGGTCCCGCTCCTGCCCCCGCGCTTGGCTGCTGGTGGTATGGGACGGGCAGGGGGGCACCCCAATCCTGCCAGGGAGACGTAGGCGGTGGGTCCCGCTCCTGCCCCCGCGCTTGGCTGCTGGTGGTATGGGACGGGCAGGGGGGCACGGGGTGCCAGGGAGGGGACCCTGGTGCTGCGGTGGCACTCACCTGTCGTAGGCGCAGTCCGACTTCCCCACGGTGGTGTCGGTGTCGTCGGGGAGCAGCCACTTGAAGACGTCGCTGGTGCGCAGGCGGATGGCCGACCAGTCGCTCGGCTGGACGTAGGCGCAGTCGGCGTTGAAGTCCCCCAAGAACATGATGTTCTGCGATGGGAAGAGGGGGGGGCTCGTGGTGGCTGGGGAACAGGGCTGCCCCCAACACCAGCCCTCCCATGGGGGTCAGCCCCGGGTGCTGGGGCATCCCCCGTGGCAGGGGACGGGGCAGGAGCAGGGTCCCCATCCCACCACCCCTGCACCAGCTGTGCTCGCCTCGGAGCGGGGACCCAGCGTGGGTCGAAGGGTCCCTGGGGCTCAGCGCCCACCCTCGGTGCCATCCCCGGTGCCGGCGGCACTCACGTCAGTCCCCCACTTGTTGACAATGGCCAGGTAGACGTCGTAGAGCGCATCGATCTCGGCGACGGCATCGTGTGGGGCCGAGTGCAGTGGCACCAGCACAAACTCCTCTGCCTCTGCCAGGGGAGAGGGACGTCAGCCCTGCAGCCACCCCATGCCACCACCTGGGGCCACTCATCCCCCTGCTTACTGGTGCGGGGTGCTGAGACCCTCAGGATGAACGGCTCCCGGCTGAAGACATCCTGGGGGTCCTCATATTGGTAGGTGTCCACCACAGACACGACATCTGGCCTGTGGGACCAAAGGGATGGTGACCCTGGGGCTCGGCACGGCCCCTGTGCCCCCTCCATGATGTTGGTGGCCCTGCGGTGCCGCGGGACAGGCGGCAGCACTCCCAGCCCCATTACCTGTAGATGAAGAGGTACATCTCCTTGTAGTTGTCCCGTCCCAGGGGGCCGCTGATCTCGTAGTCGTACGGGGACGTGGACACACTGCAGAGACGCAAAGGGAGGACGGTGACATGGCTGGCACCAGTGACACAGCTGGTACCATCCTGGGGTGGCCTCAGCGTGGCCAGGGGCTGGGCAGCCATGTGGTTGGCACTAGCCGGTCCTGCTGTCCTGTCCCTATGGGCCACTATGCCCCGGCTGTGGGGTGACATGGGGTCTAGTGGCTCCGAGCCACCCTGCTGTCCCCACCACCCCGGGGTGGCTCCTTGGGCACGGCCGGCCGCGGGCAGGACGCGGGGCGGCTCCTGCCACCCCTTTCTCCACAGGGACGCTCCCCACCTTCATTTGCAGCAAAGCTAAATTAGGTTAATGAGCAGCCCGGGGCCCCACGGAGCCTGGCGTCACCCTCCCTGCCCTGGCTGCTTTGTGGCTGTGCTGGAGGGGGCACCGAAGGGGCGAGGACGTGGGCTGGGCGTACCTGCTCAGGAGCACTCGCTGCCTTTCAACAAGGCAGCAACAGCCTCCGCCCAGCCCCAGCCTGGCCCTGACCCGTGCCCTCACCCAAAATGGTGTCAGCACCCAGCTGGTGGAGGGGCTGCCCGTGCCCTCACCCAAAATGGTGTCAGCACCCAGCCGGCGGAGGGGCTGCCGCCCCACGGTGGCCAGTTTTAGCCCGCCCCAGCAGCCCCTTTTCTTCCTGGGGTGCCTGAGCCGCTCGCTTCAGAGCATGATCTGCCGCTGGGTCCATCCCGGGGTCAGCCTGCCACTCACAGGGTCTTGGGGTGCGGGGGGCTGCCTGCCCCTGCCCGCTTCATCCCCCATCTCACCTCTGCCCTGTCCTGTTGGATTTTGGAGCCAGAACTTGCCAGAGCTGTAGTTCCTTTCCATCCTGTGCGCTCCAGTGGGATTGCAGCTTTCGGAGGGGTTTTGTGCCGCTTGTATCCCCCTTCCTCTCCCCGGATTATTCCCAGTGGCTTTTTCAGTGCCTGCTCAAAGCTTCAGCCCCAGCACTTTTCTCCCATTTCCCTTTCCAAAAACAAACCCTCTGCCGATGGACAACTTTTTTTGGCCTTTTATTGCTCAGGCAGCTTGGCTTTCCCTGCTAACGCTGGCATCTTAGCCCGTGAGCTCTCAGCCCCGGCCCTGCTCATACCTGTTAAGATGCTCCATGAGCTGGGTGACAGCGCTGAGGTCGGAGTCGCGCACCTCCTGCACCAGTGCCACGTCGTAGCGCTGCAGGATCTGTGGGGCCGAGAGGGATGGCGATGGTGAGAGGGAGCCTGCTCCTGGCTCGGGGCCACCCTCTCCTCTCCCACCCATCTCCCGGCTGGGCACCCTGATGCAGTGCTGGGTGCAGTACCACGGGGACCCACATATCCCTTGGCGTCGGGGCAGATGTCCCCACAGAGGGCTCAGAGGGACTGCGGGGTGTGCCTGACATCCCACCTTGGTCCCCACCAAGCCTTCACCCACCCAGGGCATCCCCGGCACTGGGATGCCATCCCATCTGTGGCCACATCCCCACACGTCCCTGCCACAGGAGGCACATTTTGGGTCTGACTCAGCGCAGAGCCCATCCCTGGCTGCACTCACGTTGACGATGATGCCCGCCACTTCCTCGTTGGACATCTTGGTGTCTCCAAACGCCTGGATGTTGAAGGCGCCGATGCGCAGCATGGCGGTGGCCGGGCGTGGGAGAACCACGACCAGCAGGGACAGTGCCAGCGCCACGGTCCCCATCCTGCTGGGAGGGATGCTGAGCCACAGGGATGCAGCAACGGGAGACGAACTTGGAAAACTGCTTTGGATTTGGGAATAGAGCAAAAAAAAGCCATGTAGGTCCTTCTTAAGTCCTGGCGTACAACAGCATGCTGCAGTGGGCACCACCTGGAGCAGCCCACAAAGCCGGCACGGGCTGTCTGCTGGCTTGCCGGTCCCAGGGTAAGCTAAACCCCATCCTGCCGCGGTGAATCTGCCTGGCAGCACCTCTGCCAGCCCCTGGGATCGCCCAGCTCCGCTCCCCGCCGGGACGTCTCCATTGCCCACCAGCCCCAGCCGCCACCGCTGGCACCCCGGGCTGTTTTGCGATCTTAAACTTGATTGCAGCCCCCACAGTCGGAGTAAGGGAGCGACTCCTCATCCCAGCTTGTCCCAGCACATCCCAGGCCCTCCCACTTCGCGGCTGAAGGTGCCGAGCCCGTATCCGTCCTTACCGTGCCGAGCGCGCAGCACCTCTGCCCTCCCAGCAGCAGGACGGGCGGCTTTATTCCCGGTGGAGGTGCCGGCAAAGCAGGATGAGTCGGACACCCCCGTGGGGGTTTTGGCACAGCTTTGGGCTCCTTCCTACATTGGCACCAAAACCCCGCGGGGCGGCAGGGTGGGGCTGGCATAGCCGCCCCTGTGCCGACGCGGCGAAGGGTGGCCAGGGAGGCGCAGCGGTGCCGGGGCATCCCGGTGGGACTGGGTGGGCACGCGGGACTCATGGTGCTGCGGCTGGGGTGGCCCCCCGGGTCATGGTGCGGGGCACGGCGGCCAGGCAGGCGGCGAAGGGCGATGGCCTTAACGTGGGTGATTCAGATGGTGTAATTAGAGGGGAGAGAAGGAAATGGCGGGGTGTCTGGGTCAGGCAGGCTGAGCACCGCCAGCCTCAGCAAGAGGGGGCGGCTGCAAACCCCCACAGCAGCCCGGTCAGGTCAGGCAGGCTGAGCACCGCTCAGCAAGA